CGGTGGAGAAATTGTCTAAAAGTCTATGAACATAACTTCTGCCTTTTCACTGAGATGTGACAGGTCATAGAAAAAAAATAACATATCATGCTAAAAACAAAAAAAACAGTCCTAAAACAAGAGAATGGTATCAGTGGTTTTACATGAGGTCTTCTTTTTGACTTTGCAGGAAGACTTGAAGGCTGTGGTTCGAGCACTCGAGAGGCTGGAGGAGGAAACAGAGTCTTTGCAGCACTCATGCAGTCAGCTGAGGGACCAGTTGGAGGAGGAAGAGGAGAAAGCTAAAGAGGTGCAAATGATTTCACACAAGCACACATACTTATTTGTCTTTATTGCAACATTCTCCAATCACTGCTGTCCTGATTTTAATTCAGGTGTGAATTTGACCTTTTATTTTAGTGAAAATCTGCTACAGCTGTTATGAGCATTTATATGATGCTATTAATATAAACACGCATTTATCTATTAAAGCATTACAGCATTGTCTGAGTTTTTCATGGCTGAATCATCCTCTTCACACTAAATTTATCACCTACAACCTCAAAACACTGAGGAGTCGCAGCAGATGTGAATGTTGTCATTTCGTGCCTCGTGCTATCTGATACAGAACATTTAACCATATTGGCCAGTGTCAATGCCTCAGGCTCATTGATATATTCTTGGAGTTGTTCCTGAGCAATTTTTGTGGTCCTGCTGTGAGTGTCAGCTGTCATGGCAAAGGGCACATCCATCTTGGGAATCTCATCTTCCACTACATCCCAGAGGTGCTGTATTAGAATGAGATCTGGGGACTGTTGGGGCCATCTGAGTACAGTGAACTCACTGATACATTTAAGAAATCAGTTTGATAGATTTGCGTTTTGCAACATCTCTCGTTCTTCTGCTGTAAGCAGCCATCAGAAGATGGTGGTCATAAAAGTATGGACATGCAACAATTCTCACACACGATGTCTCTGTAGTGTTTAAATGATGCTCAGTTGGTACTATGAAGTCCACAATGTGCCAAGAAAATATGCTTCACACCATTACAACCTTACCAGCCTGAACCTGATGGTTCCATGCCTTCATGTTGTTTACTGACCCTGCCATTTGAATGCTGTAGCAGATATTGATTCATCTATCCAGGCAACTGGTGAGACTGTGAACTGTAGCCTTGGTTTCTTTTTCTTAGTTGGCCCCTGTTGTGGTCTTGGTTTGACGTGTTGTGTATTTAGATATATTCTTCTGCATACCCTGATTGTAACCAGCGATTTAACCAGGCTGACTTTATTATTATTTTCAAGCAGTCTTAAAATAGCAATCAAGTTATTTAAAACACTCTGGCCATACTCCGTTGACCTCTGGCATCAACATGGCATTTTCACCCAGAGAACTGCTGCTTATTTTCTGTTTTTCAGACCATTCTCTGTGAACCTTAGAGATGGTTGTGCGGGGGAAATCCCAGCCGATCAGCAGTTTCTGAAATACTCAGATCAGTCTGGCTACGTTTAAGTTTGTTTATGTTAACAAGCAGATGAACAGGCTTATCTGATAAACTGTTCATTACCACCTCTGGTGGGTTTTTCAAATTCTGAACCTTTTGTGTCGATTTATTTCTTTGATCTGAATTTTCCCTTTTTGAACGTTACTCTCTTCTTTCTTTCTTTTTGCCTTTTTTTTGCAATAGACTATGGAGGTTCTGCTACAGGTTTTATTATATGCTATATAACTATGTTTTAATGTGACATACATTACAGTAAATGGGTCATTTAATAATAGTAGATGTCACAGCTGAAGTGACCAGAAAATCGTGGTGTGAACTGCAGTTTCGACACCATCATGGGGCCGTTAGACAGGTTCGTCTAGACGTTTGTTACAGAATCACCATAACCGTGAATTTTTCGTGATGTTTGGCTGAAATGTGACTATTTTGTGGCTGTTGTGAAATCTGACATAACCTATTCTGGAGAAATATCAAGTATTGCCTGGATGGCCGCTAACTTTCTGCTTCTTAATTCAGATAAACTGAGGTTATTGTACTCGGCCCTGAAAAGCTAGAAATATGGTATCTAACCAGATTCTTACTCTGGATGGCATTACCTTGGCCTCCAGTAACGCTGTGAGGAACCTTGGAGTCATTTTTGACCAGGACATGTCCTTCAATGCACATATTAAACAAATATGTAAGACTGCTTTCTTCCATTTGCGCAACATCTCTAAAATTAGAAATATCCTGTCTCAGAGTGACGCTGAAAAACTAGTTCATGCATTTATTACTTCCAGGCTGGACTGACTGTAATTCATTATTATCAGGATGTCCAAAAAACTCCTGAAAAGCCTTCAGCTAATCCAAAATGCTGCAGCAAGAGTCCTGACAGGGACTAGAAAGAGAGAGCAGATTTCTCCTGTTTTGGCTTCCCTTCATTGGCTTCCTGTTAAATCCAGAATTGAATTCAAAATCCTGCTCCTCACATACAAGGTCTTAAATAATCAGGCCCCATCTTATCTTAATGACCTTGTAGTACCATATCACCCTATTAGAGCACTTCGCTCTCGCTCTGCAGGCCTACTTGTTGTTCCTAGAGTATTTAAAAGTAGAATGGGAGGCAGAGCCTTCAGTTTTCAGGCCCCTCTTCTGTGGAACCAGCTTCCAGTTTGGATTCGGGAGACAGACACTATCTCTACTTTCAAGATTAGGCTTAAAACTTTCCTTTTTGCTAAAGCATATAGTTAGGGCTGGACCAGGTGACCCTGAATCCTCCCTTAGTTATGCTGCAATAGACGTAGGCTGCCGGGGATTCCCATGATGCATTGAGTTTTTCCTTTCCAGTCACCTTTCTCACTCACTATGTTTAACAGACCTCTCTGCATTGAATCATATCTGTTATTAACCTCTGTCTCTCTTCCACAGCATGTCTTTATCCTGTCTTCCTTCTCTCACCCCAACCGGTCGCAGCAGATGGCCGCCCCTCCCTGAGCCTGGTTCTGCCGGAGGTTTCTTCCTGTTAAAAGGGAGTTTTTCCTTCCCACTGTCGCCAAAGTGCTTGCTCATAGGGGGTCATATGATTGTTGGGTTTTTCTCTGTATCTATGAAGCGCCTTGAGGCGACTTATGTTGTGATTTGGCGCTATATAAATAAAATTGAATTGAATTGAATGCTACACCAGAGCCATATCGAATCACAGACTCGAAGGTTTTTAATGATTTACTTCAAACTCACACAGCACCCCTTTTCTGGTCTTCACAGATTTTACGAATAAGTGAACGAGCTGTTCTCAAACTTCCCTGTCTTCCTTCTCAGAAAGGTGAAACATTGGAGGTGAGTGTTGTTATTTTAAGAGCTAGGCACAGCCAACATTTTCACACTATCTGAAATGTGCTTCATTTAACCAAATTGCACAATATTACTTATCACTAAAGGTGAAGTTCTTTTGTTCCTTTCTTCTTTTTTTTATGAATAGCATTTCTAAATAGCTTAGTAGGCACTTCCTCTACCATGTAACAGGAAAGCCTGTACTCTGTGGTGCAACTTCTGTGAAAAAACATGAAATTCATGTTACGAAATGCAGAGAGAGAGAGAGAGAATGTGACTTTTAGGTTCTGTGTTATCTTGGTTATCTACTCAGCTACAGAATAAACCCTTGTTTTTGTTCTAGCTGTTTTCACGAGTCATATCACTCATAATACGTTTTACCTGGAATTAGTTGAAAAATCAACCACATGTCACAGGTCATGCTGAGTGTAGGTCATCTGAAGTCACTACAACCTGCAAGTTTCATACCTGAAAATTACACCTGTGCCACTTTTTGGCACCATAGGACTGTAACAGTTATCTTTTCTCTGGTTCTAAGCCTTAAAAACTGTACTTGTATCTGCGGTAATGTGTGTATACCCACTGCTGATTGATCTGCTGCCTCTCTTCCCTAGGAGAAGACCAGATCATTTAAAAAAATCAACTTAAATCGCCACTTTCTATTTTCCTCAGGCTCTGCTGAGAAAGTTTATACCAGACAGCGATTCTGCAGCCACAGCTCGGAAACTGGGCCAAATTCTGCAGAAATCAAAGCCAACCAAGGATGACCAGGTGCTGCTTGCGCAGGCACGTGAACACGCCGATCGGCTCTTCCACCCCGGCTGCGTATTGAATAGTAGCGCACTGAGTTTTGAAGAAAGGTAGCATTAAAGAAGAGGTTTAGAGATTTGCTGCTCAGTATTTATTGGGTTTGATACTTCTTACTTCCATATTTGTGGTTGTCTTTGTGGAATATTTCTGCCTACCATGCTTCGCTGGTATTGAGTTTGCATCATATTCCTGTTTTCAGCTACTTTTTTCTTTGTTTTTTATTAATTATGTGTTCTGTTATGTGGATGTTTTTTGTCTTTTGGTGCACATAAAAGCCTGATATCCAACTTCTGTGGCAAGTTTAGGCTAAACAACTGAAAATTAAATAAAGTCACAACTGAACAGTGAATTAATTAAAATCCTGCTGCCTAAACTTTTTTTTACAGTGGAAGATTTAGTGTGCACTGAATAAAAACAAGTCCAAATCTTGCTGCTGCTTGCTGCTTGATGTTTTGCAAGCCTAGTGAGACATTCAGCTAACTAAAGCTACTGGAATGCGTTTAATCTGGAAAACTTTTGGTTTTAACAAATTTGGAGAATCTGCTCTGTGCTGGAAACAATAGCATTCTTGAAAGGATTATGCAAGATATGGGTTGTTTTTTCTTTTTAAGAACTCCGTGTAATAAAACTTACCCTGCAGCCAGGAAGTTAGCATCGAAATGATGTTGTTTTTTTCATTGCTGTGCATGTTGCATAAACCAGTGAACAAGATGATTCATGAATTCATTTTCCCCTAGAATAACAACCCTGCCATCAGCATGTTCAAACAGAGGCAGCTTCTTGTTAGGAGCTGGCAGCAACAGCCAAACCTGAATCTCCTTTTCATGAGCCAAATATGCTCTTTTTGGCAAATCATAGGAGTAATTTCTGTTTGTTTGTTTTGTTTTGTAAATGAAACTTTTCCATTCCCATTCTCAAAATTTTTAATAGCCTATTAAAATAAAAAATAAAAAAGTATGTGTACATTTAAAACAAATCAATAACAGTCCAGATCCTTGAAATACATGGTCCAGATAGGATCACATCTCTGCAAAACTGTCAAACTAAAGCAAAAATCATCATTTTATTTACAAGATTATGTGTGGTTTTCACTCATAAAGAGGACACTGCGGTACATTCACTTGTAATAACTCAAACACTTCTACTTCTGTATTTACACAACTCACATTTTAAAGGGGGATGAATAATTTCCACAAAAGGAGAAATGCACATGTTAAAAGAAATGCTGAAGAAATGAAGAGTTAACATGCTAAATTATTACATTATTGGCCTCCCTGTTACATCTGCGAGTTTTTCAGTGATTTCCTTCGTATGGACTCTGAGGAGTCATCATTGAAAAGTCGGTCAATGGTGGAGACCAGAGAAGCTTTGATGGCACGGCCTAAGCCTCTGGCAGCAAACACGTAAAGCACGGGGTTCAGGGCGCTCTTGATATACACCAGGTACAGAGATATGTATTTACCATAGCTTGCTGACTGAGAGTGAGATTTGGCCAAAGCCTGTATAAATCGACAAACAAAATAGGGGACCCAGCAGGTGAGGAAGAGGAGCATTGTGAAAAAGAGCACATGGTACATCCTTATCATCTTGCGTGCCATTGAAGGAGTGGAGGAGGTGGGTGTTGGAGGTGAAGCTCTCCTAATAGTGAGCAGAACAGCGAGGTTACTTCCCAGGAACACCAGCACGGGCAACATGAAACCTGCTAAAGTTTCGATTACGAACAAAGTCGTATTATGCCCTTCACTCTCATAGCAAAGGTGTTTCCCAGATTTCTCCTGCAGGACAGCGAAGTAGAGGTAGGGGCTAGACAAGATGGTAGCCATCAGCCATATGAGACCACAGGCTAAAGGGACGGCCCAAGCTGGCCGTCGCAGTCGAGCCCACACCGGCCTCAGCAGGCACAAGCATCGTTCCAGAGCCACAGCGCAGAGGAGGAAAGCAGAGGCGTACAATCCCAGGACCCGCAGGAACATGATGATGCGGCAGAAGGTGTCCCCAAATGGCCAGCTGTTGTGAATGAGAAAGCCCAACATGAGAGGGGTCCGCAGGATCAGCACCAGATCGGCCAGGGCAAGGTTCAGGACATAGACACGGAAACTGCTGGCAGCGCGTGTCTCCTCATTACTGCCTCTACGCACCACATGACGATGACTCCGAAATCCGAGCGCCCAAACCACGAGCCCATTCAGAGGCGCGCCCACCTTGAGGTACCAAGACAACCAGGTTGCAGTTAGGCTCGGGGAAACAGCAACTTGACATTTTGCAGGAATTCATTTATTTGCTTGTTGTGAAGACTGAACCTACTGTTCATTCTGTGAAACCGATATGAAGATGGAGCTGGTCTTATTTAATGAGCTCTGGTGGCTTTTTCAGCCTTTGCATGACAATCGTCATTTACATTGAGCAGGCTCCCTGCCTGTTGTAGCTGCAATACATGGAGCATTTACTCCACATGTATATATGTAAGTGGAACTGATACTGAATGTGAATTTTACATCGGAAACGATTCATGAACTGAAAGTAAAAAAAAAAAAAGGAGAAGATTTCTCACCAAGAAGATAAGCAGCGTAACTACAATCTCGGTTCCTCTTGAAGCCTCTGCCTGCCAGGTGCTGCTGTTGGAGCTAGATAGGTTTTCCACCTGTGTCCCATTCATGCCAGCCATCGGGCCGATACGAAACTGGGCTGTAATGCAGCACGTTAGTTAAATACAGAAAGTACTGCGGCTGTTTGTCAATAAACAATTTCATCACTGATAGAGAAGGAAAATATGCAACTGTTGCACTGAAAGACAGATTTCACATATGCTGGTTGCCTAAAATGTTGACAAGCTGATGTCCACACCAAACAGCAAGGTGACGCCACAAACTTCCTTCTGTACGTTTGCTCAGCTTTGCATTGTTTCTTAAAGTTACGTTCCTTAAAAATAGCGAATGAAACAAAGTGAGTGCAGCGCTCGAGTCTGAATCACCTGGGTGTGTGTTTTAAAAAAAAAAATCATCTATCACTTAGGTGGCATTTTCTAATCGGATGAATAATCATAACCACTGCACGTAGCACTGTACTCTAACTGACAATTTTGTGGGTTTTAGTGCAAATGTCAGCTTTTATCTCAAGAGACAGTTTGACTTTATGTGCTGCTTTTTGTTTCCATGGCGTGAATAATAAAAACATGAAAGCACAGCATGCACGTCAGGTGCAACAGCAGTGATTAACGAGAAAGGAATCTGCTACACGTACATTCAGGCAACCCCGGGATCTGCTATTCTGCTGCTGCATGCAAACATTCATGTATCAGTGAACTTATCTCCCTGGTATGGATTCATTTTTTCAAAGCAAAAGTGAATTTCTGCTTTCACAAATCACAAAACTTTTTCCTTTTTCCATGTTAAGTATTAAAAGCAATGAGCAGCATTTGTGCTGCAACTGACTCCAATTTTAGTTTGCTGCCCGTACTAACCAGATCAGTACCAACCTGCACCAGAGTTATCAGTAGCTGTGAATCAGTGGAGATTAAACGCTTTGAAGTCGGTTGTTTTAAAAAAATAAAATTAAAATCTAAAAGCAGGATTAAAATTAAAATCTAATTCAAAGACTTCTTTACTCACCTCCTTTACTTGAGTTGTGGGTGGAAGAAGTGGAGTAGCATATCAATAAAAAGGGAGTGCCTATCTGCCTAACTCTCTCTCTTTCCTGTCTGTGATTGCAACACACAGACACACACTCCTTCCTATAACCATATTTACAACATCTCAGAGTCAATCATCATTTTCTTCTGATAGTGAAAAGCCATTTCAAGTGTTTCCCTCCGGCTTTATCAGCTGCTTTACATGAGCAGTTGTTAACCTCAGAGGCATAAAAGGTAAAAACTGAATAAGATAAAACTGCCACGTCTCTCTTAAATAAAATAAAATAAAATTGCCACAAAGTTGTTTTTTTGTTTGTTTTTTTCCATGACACTTGATTTCTAACATTTTGGTGGGCACTTTGTTTTTCATAGCTGGCAGTGAGAGGAAACGTACCCCAGCTGCTCTTGAGCTGCCGGTGCCGCGTTCAGATATTCATCAATCTAGATTTCGATTTGCTTTACTTCCTTTTCTATTATGTCTGCCACATTGTTTTGCATTTCTTTGTGGGGAGTGGATGATAAGATCATTTTTAAACACCCGAAAAAACAGTTTTGGAATTGATCGAAGCTTTCAGTCTACATCAAAACAACAACACACGCTAATTTTAACAAAATACAACAAATGAATGTTGTTGAGCCAAAAGGATCTGTCGTTATAAATGAGGAGAGCACAATCAAACTGAAAATGCTATTGAAAAATAATTTTAGCTAATTCGTATTATTTTCAGCAGTGTTTGTGTCAAGGGTCACCTGCTTTAAACTTATCAGGGACTCTGGTTTAATACTTTGGCCGGCTGGTTGATGAAGGTGCTCCTCACAGCAAAACACTCACGTGATAATTGAAAATTATTTATCTAACACAGCTTTCTGCTTTCACGAGATGCTCCAGATCACGCCTGTGCGTGCCATTTGACGTTTGTTTGCAGTGGCCGGGTCTAAAGCTTCCCTGAGGTAGGCTCAGTGTGTGAAAAGTGAAGTAGGCACACATTAAAACTGCAGTCTTGCTAATTAGCCTGCAGGGTGCATACAGGAATGTACGCACCCTGCAGGAATGTCAAACAGGAATGTCAAATTCATTTTACATCGTGGGCCACATACAGCACATATAGTTGTTTCATGTAAAGTGGGCGGGAGTGGTGGTAACTTTTTATGATAGTTCATTGCACAGACTGATCTGTAATTATGAAAAAAGTTATTGTTAATTAACTACGGAGTCACTAATAGTAGAAAAACAGGAACTTCACTGAAATTAAATTTTTTATCTCTTAGTTAATCAATTTGGTGTAATTTAAGTACGGCTGAGCATGAGCAGTTTTTGTCAATAGAAAAAGATGTTAATGAACAACTTATAAAATTTCAGTTAAAAGTTCAAAATCTATGCATGTCTTCACATTTTATGAAGTCAGTGGGCCAAAATCAAGTCTTTGATGGGCCAGTTCTGGACCCTGGGCCTTATGTTAGACACCCCTGGTACAGAAGTCTTATGGGAAAGCGCATGGCTCTTTAAACAGCTACTTTAAAATGGTATTTTATTCGCAGGAGTTCGCCACAGAGGATAGCTCTGCATGTTTTTGATTTATTTATTATTTTTTATTACACTGGATGCTCTTCCTGACACAGTCCCCGAGGGATCTGTGGCTCACTTGGTTATAAAACCTCTATAAAGACTTTCCTGATGAGTTTATGGTCTCGCTTAGTTTGAAGTCTCTTTGAGTTTAACGTGAGGTTAATTTTACAAATTTTGCTCTCGTTTAGACTAAAATCAGAGGTACAGCAGGACATGCTTTAGTATGTGGCTACTTTCTAACTGATTAGTTGCCGCTGTGTGAGTGTGCAGTGTCCTCTGTTTCTAAGTTGCTCATGGCATCTAGTTTTAAAATGCCAAGAAATTTGTAATAGCCAGATTCTCAGTTTGAGGCTTGAAACTGAGACCAGCTATGATGTACTGTTTGGTGACTGTGGCACTGAGAACAACGAAGTGAGTATATCAGAGGGACAGCTCAGGCTGACGTTTGGATGCGTGTAGAGGAGAGAGTGTGGGACAATATTTTCCAGGCAGGAGAAAAAGAGGAAGACCGCCGAGAAGGTTCATGGTTGTAGTGAAGGAGGACATGCAGACGGTTGGTGTTACAGAGGAGCATATTAGGGATAGGGTGATTGAAGGAAGCTCATCCACTGTGGTGACCCCTAAAGAAGAGGAAGAATGCTAAAAATTGGGCCCAGTGTTTGACTTTATTATATAAGTTTTCAAATTACAACCTTCCAGATATCAAATCTCAATCTGGACAAGCAGGGTCCCAAAGTCTAAACAACTTCAGACTTGCATATTCTCCTCACCATGACTGGGCGCTTCATTTACTTTCATAATACTATGTCTCCTGTTTATCTCCTACATGCACCCTCCTGTAGCTGCCAAACATCTCAAACTCAGATTCAGCAGTTATCGTGGTCTTTTTGCAGTCATCCATTCTGAAATGTGGATGTGTCTGAGCCTATGCCAAGCATGTGGTCATGTGTCCTCTTCTGAAAAGTATTTAGAAGCTAAATATGGGCACTCCCATTTTTATAACAGTTGAACAATGGGTAAAAAGTGACGCACTGCAAACTACTTGAACAACTTAATGAGTCATCTGATTGAAATGTCAATGGAAGGGTGTAACTCAAGAACACCTGGCCACATGTGCAGAGGTGTTAGGATGGTCAGCGACACCAGCACGCTCACATTTCACTGCAGAATCTTTAATGATTATTTTGCTGTATTGAAGCTTCTCAGGCTCTTTTGAATGGACCTAAATGAGCACACAAAACCAGTGTTGTGATCTCAGCCTGAAGCCCAGCAATTGAATCAGAACTTTTTTTTAAGACAATTTCCTAAAACACCAGGGCACTGCAGAAGTTTATAGTTTTTGAAAAATAGTTTTTTTTGTAGATCATATAAAGTGTCTGCGCAGTAAACAAGCTGCTTGGTTCCTGTCTAGTTACTTGCAAAAGTACGCCACCAGATGGCAGTGCTGCTTATTCAAGGATCCAAGGGATTCAAGGAGCTTTATTGTCATTTGCATCACATGTTTACACGAGGTGGAACGAAATTATGTACACACGGTCCCAGAGCGAAAAGAAACAGAATTTTAAAAGTTTTTTTTAAAAACAAAACAGAATAACAGAATAATACAATAAACTGAGCGCACAACCTGAGTACCAGTATGGAGTATGGATACAGAATGTAGGTATAAATATAGGTATAAATGCTTTAGCAGCAAAAGGGCATGATGACCAGCATTGATAAAGTGAGGGTGTCAGTAAGTGTCAGTAGTGATTAAGGTGCTACAATAACAGTTCTTGTCCATTATGCATTGAGAAGTCTCACAGCTTCTGGAAGCTGTTTCTCAGTCTGGTGGTTTTGCATTTAATTATCCTCAGCCTCCTGCCTGAGGGGAGCGGGACAAAGAGTGTGTGTGCTGGGTGAGTGGGGTCCTTCATGATACAGGTGGCCCTCTTCCTGGATCTGGAGGTGTATTTGTCGGTTACGGTTGGGAGGCTGCCTCCGACAACTCTCTGTGCAGCCTTCACCACCCTCTGTAGCGCTTTCCTCTCTGCCACAGTGAAGTTTCCGTGCCACACGTTGATGCCAGAGCACAGAACACTCCACCGCACATCTGTAAAAGGAGATGAGGATTGAGCTCTCCCGCACGCCTCAACCGCCTCAGGAAGTAGAGCCTCTGGTGAGCCTTCCTGATCAGGCTGGAAGTTTTGTTTTTCCAGGTGAGGTTGCTATCTAGGTACGTACCCAGGTACTTGTAGCTGGGTACTACTTCGACTGCAGATCCTCCGTCGTGCAGGGGTGTGTGTGTGTGTGTGTGTGCGTGTGTGTCTGCCCCTCCTGAAGTCCACAATCATCTCCTTCGTCTTCTCATTTAAACAGATTTGTTTTATTTGGTAAATAACAAAGAGGTTTTGCCCTCTGTGTTTTTTTAGGAGTGTTTTCCTTGACACCGGAGTCTACAGTAGACTACTGTAGACTCCGGTGTCAAGGAATCTACTGTCCGTAGATGTGTTTCTCCAGAGATTCTGGACTGTTTGTACTGTTGCATTTGACATATATGACACATATTTATGAAACAGCCTTCCCATATGTCCAGCTACTTTGTATTAAAGGCTGTACACTGGCTTGTTGCCCCATGTGTCACTTTCATTCAGAATTTATTCCAGATATACTAAAAGCAAGAATGCAGCTACATTAAGTTTTTATGTTTCAGTGCCACCTTCTGGTCAATTAATTGGGAATTTAAAAAAAACAAGAACAAAACAAAACACCAATGAAGAAAGTCAGAGAAAGTCTCATTTTTAGCAGAAAAGTACAAAATAATTTTTCAGTATATATTTTGACTTGTTTAAAATTAGATCTATATCAGTGTGTGGGGGAAACATTTAGATGTGTATTTATTTGGTCAGTATCAGTTTGAAGTGTTTTATTGCTGGGTTTATTTATTTAGATCATTACAGAAAGTAAAGCTGAAATTGTTTGAATGCTGCGTTACGTTCTTAGTCTAGGCGTGTATTGAACGCAACAAGAAATTGGCCCCACTCATGCACCACCCAAGAAAGAACACAAATAGTATCTTTTAAAGTGCTAAGCAGCCATTTATTTGCTTCAGCAGTGAGCAGTGCCAAAAATAACAAACAAAACTCCCTAATGGACCCTACACTTTCCTACACAAAATGAAAACCAACCAAAAGACAATTCACTTACCTAACTTTCTAAACGAAAAACAGGAGAAAATTTAACAAAAATGGCTTCTCACGCCTACTAAGCTGCTGCAGTGAGCAATATATACACACACAAGGTGAACAAAATACACAATTGCTACTTTACAAATATATTTACAAGATTAAGGTACTAACGCGCGCCCCCCCACACACACACACACACACACACAGATACTTGCAAATCAATTGGCAAAGACACTCCACACAGCAACGAATCAAAAACGCAGGTTCTTTGTTGGATGGTGGAGGTTAGGAGAGGGGGCCAGGTGGCTGTCATCTGGTGGTTAAATACTGGAGGTGA